CTCTAACTGAGACGGATCAATTCTCATTCTTTTGTTTTCCCAACTTGGAAGCGGTGCTGCTCGGCCATGTAACAGTCTGTGCCGACGAGCTATGTTGTAACGATATCGGGTCAGCATAGGAATATGTTGCTTAAGTTCTTTGAAGGTAATTTTGTCAGCCATCATCGACAGAATTTGTCGCCGCATGCTCCAATGCTGTGCTATTGCATAACTTTCAGCATARGCTTCGAGCAGTTCTAGTTCTTTATCACCTTTGGGTGTGATTTCTTCTTCATCTTTGCCCACATTGTTATTTTCATACAATGCCCTCCAAAGGCTTATGGAATCTTCAGGAGTAAGAACATCTAACACRGCAGAAATACATTGCTTCGCTTTTCTTACGTAGCGTCGCTTCGTTCTTTCGTGGGCTTTATTCCAGGGTATTGATAGGGAAACGCGAATTGGACTTATATCTCGAAGCTGTAAAAAACCATTGAGCTGTCGACGGGGCTCATCATCATCATCATCATTATCATCATTGTCACATTTAGAAGCTTCGACGTTTTCATCTAACTCTTCCTCTTCTTTTCGAGAAGGCACATATACGCTTTCTCTTCTACACTTTGGAGTAATTGGTGAATCTGGTGTCACACGAGTCTGTGAAACAAAGCAATTCCAAATCAGTGTGATAACAAATAAGAAAAAACATTCGAATCAATAACGTAATTCAAGACTGAAAATCGAAATCTTTCTCATTCACCAGTTTCAGGGATATACCTAAGCAAATTTATAACCGACTTCTACGGATTTTGCATGCGCAAATCTTCATGAAAAGCCACGTGACTGGACGGATTTTTAAAGTCAGAACAAAGAGCCGTATGTCTGGCCCAGTATGGGCCTTTTTCACGCGGCAGCCATGTTGGTTTACACAATAGATTCCACTACGCGTATTCTGGAATTCAGAATACATTTATGCTAATGAAACAAGATTTTTATTCTCATAAGAACAAACATGGCTGCTGAGTGATAAAGGTCCTTAGTACCCGGGTCTTATAGTTTGGTAACCACTAGCTGTTATTACAGTTGACCCCACAATGAGAGAACCTTATTTGTTTTAATGATCATTCAAGCGAGACTACTGGATCGATACAATGCATAATGAGTCATTGCAACCGTAATGACAGCTATTGACTGTGTGGGAGAGCTGAGACAATGGGCCTTTTTTTTGCAACAACAGGTCACGTGACCCTACCCCTTAAAATGAACAGTTGTGTCAAAATCAACATCAGAAATGAAAAGAGCACCTCGATATTATTAAAARGGCAAAAGTTTTAGCTCATAACGATTACTATAGGAGAAATGGCATTAAATTGCCATTTCTCCTGTGTTACATGTTATAAGCTGAAGCTTTGCCATCTTGCTAATATTGAGGTGCTTTTTCCATTGCTGATGTTTATTTTGACTCAACGTCTCTTTTAACGGGAGTTAGGGTCACGTGACCTGTTGTTGCAAAAGGCCTATTGAAAACTAAATAAATAAATAAAATTACCATCAAATAATTTAAAAATTTAAAAAGTCTCAACAATCACAAATTTATTAAGTGATATTCTTATGAGCATGACATGCACAAACATATTGGGAGATACCCCTATCATGAACACTTAGTAACTCATTAACCATTGACTTAAATCAGTATATACCATCGCCTAACAAGCCAACACTATAAGAGCAGTAAACATTTCATAACAGCAACAAATTATAACATCYCATAAATAAATTAGTTTTTCATTGCTTACCAGAACCAACAGGGATAAGCTCGTTTGTTATTTCCATTATTTTGCGAGACTGAAAGAAATTGATTCCCCTTTGTGCCAATGGAACACGTCTTGAATCTCTTGCGTGTTTGGAAATCGAGGGGGGCAAACAGCATGACTTCCTTGTCCTTCTCCAACCAATTCCTAGCCTTGATCGATGCGACGGACAAATAGTCATCTCTTGAGCATTTGAACCCGATGAATTGAACATTCCACATCGAGCAAGTATGATGTCCACCTCAGTCTCTATACCGAAAAAATCGAGCGATTTCTTATGATTCGCTATTTCTTTACAGCAAGACACTAATGGAATTACGGTTTCAGCTTTTCTCGCACGATTTTCTGCGCCGCATTCTCCTCCACATATGATCTTGAAGGAACACGACATCTTGTTTGTAAGACGACCAAGTGAAAGTAATCGGGGGGAAATTGAATTTAAATATTCACGAAGGTAATTGGAAATCTACAAGTTATTATTACTGGCATTTTAACTAGAGTCGTATGGTGAAAGTTCTCGGCAAAGCTCCTTCAAACGACACTGAAATAAACTTTTGACTTAACGTTTGAATATAAATTATTTTCATTTAGTATTATAGCACAACCGATGTGCCATTTCAGAACCTTACGATACACCAAAGCATACTTAGTTAACTATCGTAATTATGTCCCAAAAAGTCGAGCCGCGCGCGGATTTCAAACTCCAGTTTGACTCCCAAAATATTTTAAATAATTAAATATAAAGTAGCTAGACATACCAAGGAATCGTTTTAAGGTATGAAGAAGTACTTTTGAGTATTTTTTCGGTCTAGAAAAACAATTATTTGACTTCCTCTTTCGCGCATGCAGTTTGTTGTCGATTTCAGTGTGTGGAGTAAGACTCAATATTTGTGAAACTTAAAGGGCGCTTATGCTGCCAAAATCAAAAAGAGCCCGGAATTTTTTTTACTTAGCTTAAAGAACTTCCTTTCGAGGATATCTGGTGAAAATATTGAGAGTTTTGATGAAATACCACATACATTATTCTTTGCTCGAATGATAGGTGGTTTACAGGTGAATTTGTCACCTTATGCATGTCGTCATTTTAAAAGGCCTCCGTTCTTCTCAAAAATAATTCATATCCGTTGAAATTACTACATCTTGATTGTACTAGGTCCAATTAACATAGATGCGATCAATCAATAAATTTGCTTTTGTTTTAGCGTTTGTACAGAACACTTATAAAACGCCTAAATACCGAGGTCGCTTTGGGTCGGATTGAGCGAAAGTCGGGCTGAAATCGTTTTTGCTCGTAATTTCTCAAAATAATAGATATTTGATCAAATCCCTCCTATTTCCTTTACCTACTCATCCAGTCCTATCAATAGGCAAAATGTAAGCCGAATCGATTTTTTGGCCGTGTCAGCGAATTTTCAAATTTTGTTTGATTTTTACTGACATTCACTCTTAACTCTTTTTAACCAGAAAAACAATTATTTATGAATAAAGTAGCATAAATTTACTCAAGGCTGTTTCCAGGGTTTACAGAGCCGAATAAATTTCTTTTACAAAAAAGTTTGATAATTTCATCAAGAAAAAGCACACCAAGTTTGGAGACAATATTCTGAATTTTCAATGAGATATGACATTTTTCGTGATATGGTTTTGGCTGCGCAAAACGGGCCAAAACATGTTTCCTGGGCGTTGATTTATTAAATGTCTTTTTTTGGTGTCCAAGCATTTCCTTTAATGCGATTTAAATTACAAAATTGTATTAATATAGAATTTATTCTTTCTTGAGCCTTTTTTAATATAATAAAGCCAGTCTCCTGCCCTTAATAATACCACTAACTAATACTAGTAATAATACCTACGGGTCATGAGTAGCATGTGGCAGTGAATAATATTGTACATGCTTATGCTAATACTCTATTTGTACAGAACAAATACACCAGTTGGAATTTTTTTCATCTTTATTCACTAAAGCAATACGATATTACGAACAATACAATTCATTTACAACATTGCTTACGGTTTTCCTTAGTGTTTCTTAGGCCAATAAACATGCAATGCAAAAAGGCAAAAGGAGGGAAACATTTTAGTTCATAAATATAAAGCCAATTGATACACAGTTTCTTACGGCACAATGTGGGGAAACTGAATCAGATATAAAACTAGTCATGGTAATAGTCTTTGCTGTGCCACACCATGAAGCAGTTCCTAGCACTTGTTATATGTAGGAACACCTGACACTGAGGGGCATCACTATATGAAGCCACCCTCAGCTGACCTCTCCCCTCACGATAGCAAACAACACAGTAGCGTCGAACTTCCTCTGAAGTGTTCTGTAATGAACTGTTCAGAAAGTTTGATCTTGCAGCTAGTTGGGAGAGCATCATCATCACCAGTACCAGCTAGTTGTCTGACAAGTTCTTCCTTAAGATCAAGGAGTGAGTAGGACTTTGGTCTCCGAAGGGCTTCAACATTGGGGTTGTTGGCTCTCTGTTCCCTAAATTGAATATAGCTGTTGACAATAGCTATGTCGATTAGGTGAAAGAAGAGAGCCTTCCACCAACGCATACACTTTCCGAGACAGTTTTGGTTGGCCAAGATCTGGTCAGAGCGATCAACAGCATTCATATACAAGTTATACTGCTTGATTACTGCTGGTTGTTGGACATTGATCTGCCTCCAGACATTTTCAGTCGACCTTTCTCGTCACTGAGATGTTTCATTGGCATTACCAATGGTTGTCAAGAGGGAAAGTCCTTCCACTGCAGGGTAAGAACAGGTGGGGTATGTCCAGTTTGGTCACGTGTTTGGTGATTCCTTTGGTGGTCTTTTTCTCTACCTCATTGCCATCCTCATGGTATAGGAGTACATCTTGGGTCGTAAACCCACAAACTATTCAATTGGAAGGCCGTGGGTATCGTCTTTCATTTTCCGCAAAACTTTCCTGTTCCTCGTACTGTGTAAAGAGTGGTCTCAGCAATTCTCTGGGGTCTCTGGGGTATTCTGATGTATCAAACAGGTCTATGTCTTGGTACATATCCTGGTAAATGTCCTCGGTTTTGATTCTGTCACAAGGAATTGCTGTCATTGAACAGGAGGGTGGCTTGATTTCCATTTTTTTGTTTGATGTAGTTGTAGGTGGAAGTCATATGTCGGGGTTTTGGACAATTCTAAAATACTGAATCCGACGAATATAGGACGGTTCAAGTATAGGGAAGGTTTCTTTATTTTCACTGCAACAAAGTTTTCATTAAAATGCGTTGCAGGTTGCAGTAATGCAGCACATACTTTGTCTTGTTGTTGAGATTGGAAATGAGTTTCTGTGTGGGCAGGCAAATCATTTGGAGGTCGTCCATGAGTTTATGATAGTAGCGGGACAGTCTTGTGGAACTTTTTGTTTTTCTGGGGCTAGTGGGTAATTGTTATGGAGGTCTTGCAGTTCTGTTGGGTACTCCAAATCCACTTCAAGTATATATCCCTCATCACCATTGGCAGGACGTGACAAGTAGAAATCTGAATAAATCCTTTACAAAACCATTAGATTTATTAAAATTATGTTTCAAGTTAATGGCATTCTCTGTTTTAAGATCAAAAAAGGATTACTATCAGAAAAACTCTGCAGTCATAAACATTTTCTTTCTGAGGGAGATACTGGATTTATTGATGACAAACTGCTATTGCTTTGCCTTGAGGTCGTTATCTATCATTCGACGCGGCATCCACATTTTCTTCATGAAGGCTTCTGCTGTTGGCTTCACAAACGTTCCAGACATACTATCAAACACTACCATCAGCTTCTTTTTAGGTAGTACCGCCAAGAGAAACCAGCGATCGCTTCTTGCAGGATTGCATGAGACAAGGATTACATCTTGATCAAGGAGATTTTCTGTACTAGTTAGAAGCTTCTCCACCACAATTTTTTTCGAAGATTTCCCAGGAAAACACTGAGACATATTCTCTTGTGGTTTTAATGATTTGCAAATATTCATCTATAACAAAGTTTGTTGAGAACTTGTCTTCCATTTTCTTGTGACCACCAGCGAGAGAATCCAAATCACTTTGGGAAATAATGCCTTTACCTCTGAACTTGATATGACCCCAAGAACAGCGTCCAATAATCTGGCTGTGTGATTTGGTACATTGACAAATGTGTGACCAATATCATCATAATCATCACTATCACCATCGCTGCTTTCATCTTCATCAACAACATCACTCTCAGTACCTGAAGAAGCATCGAAATCTTCTAAATCAAATGGAAACACGTGGAACTACTTCATTTTCAATCAGATTTTGATTAGAAGACAGCTTCCACTGTTTCTCACTTATCTCAAAGCCCTACTGACTTTGTTATGTCACGCAATTGTTTGCTTGTTGGATCAGAATAACTTCTTGCATAATCAGTATCAAGAGAACCATCAGTGATGTAGTTGAAATCACCGCTTATTATATTTACGCAGGAGTCATCATCAGTATCCATATATTCAGACAGTTAATCAAAAAAACCCTGCCGTCCTTGTCGGACTTTGTTTGCTTTATCTCAATGTCAATAGAGCGGCGAAATAGTATAGCTACTCCCGCTTCTCGTAGATAACATGCTAAAACTATTGTCGAGGATGATCATGGCGTTTATTACTGTAATGTAGCGCTGATTTACTTTTACATCACATCGCTTTACTAAGTGATAAAACTACTGCACAAAAAAACGATTCCGAACTGATCTCTCCAGGTATATCACTCTCATGCGCCCACACGCACTCAGCACGTGATTACTGCATGATCCAATCTTAAAGTCAACTAATGTGTAAAGTGTCAGCGACATCCTCCCCACCTTTCTGGGCGTGCCAAAGTTAAAGGGTTTTTTGCAGTAAAAAAGTTTATTTGCAGGTCTTAACAATCTTCAGAACTGAGTCTTGATGTCGACGGAACGTACACTTCCATCCTTTCCTTGGTGAACATGTTCAACTCTTCCCATAAGCCACTGACCACGGTTCTTTTGAGCATCTGTAATTAAGACATCTCCTTCCTTGAGATCAATTGCCTTGTGGAACCATTTTGACTTGCTCAAGATGTGGACACACTCCTTGACCCATTTTTTCCACAAAATGTTTAACAATGCTTGAGTTCTTCTCCATAACTTTCGGAAATCAATTTTATTTGTGTAAGACCACATCAAATGGAACTTTAAGGTGTGGACGAATAAGTGAAAAGTGTTAAGGACTTAACGGTTCAACATCTCCAGCATCAGCAGGAATGTATCCTATGGGCCTTGAATTAACTAACGCTTCGATTTCAATCAATGTTGTCCTGAGGACTTCTTGGGGGTACTACTCTGTTCTTGAGAATTGCAGACAAGGCTCTCTTAACGCACTGAACCATTCTTTCCCAGACACCACCCAT